TAAAGAAAAATTGAATTCTTGGGGTTCTTTGATATGCTGAATCTAAGCATGTATTTTTGATTTGGGGCATGGTCTAGATCTGTCCACATTAAGGTCCAAAGGGTCCAAAATTAAACTTTGTTTGATTTAAGGTAGCACTATACAAAAGCAACTAAATTTTATCAAAATTTCAATTCAGTTGTTTTTGTTACTCTTTAATATTCCAAAACCACAGAAGAAAAATATATTTCCATATCTTGCAATGTTAATGAGTTTTGATGATAATTAGTTTTATAAACAAATGCAGGTGTCTGACTGATACAAGATCAGAACATGTGACCAGTACTTTGTGGTTGATCAATAGAATTATTTGACAGCTTTATGACAACTGACCAGCAATACAAATAACAATTATGAAAAAGAGGTGAATTAGGGATTTATGGAAAAAAAGAAGATAATGAATTACAAAAAAAAATATCTAATTTTAGAGAACCATTTTTATACGACCGAAGGTAGTATTATGTTATGGTGTTGTCTGCGTCTGAAGACATTTTGGTTCGCAGACAATTACTTGACTATAAATTCATGGATTTCTATGAAAATTTAGCACAAGGTTCCATACCACTAAAGGATGGTTGGGATTGTTTTTGGGGGCTACTGTCCTTGCAGTTTTGTAATAAGGGGCCAAAAAGGTCAGTTTTACTGGTTCATGGAAAATAACTTGGTTCACAGACAATAACTTTAGTGTAAGTGTATGGATGTGTAAGAAATTTTAGTACAGGGTTCCATACCACAACAGGAGGCTTTGGATTGATTTTGGGGGTTATTGTCTTAGCTGTTTTGTAATTAGGGGCCAGAAAGTCGCCAAAAACAATTATTTTTTTATTTTTATATAAAAATCATTATTGCTGATGCAATAATTTTATCTTCAATTTAACTATATATCATTATAGAATGTTTTTTATTTTTGAACCAAATGGTTATTTAAGACACAGATTTCACATGAACCCTTAAAAGTAGCATCTCTTAATTTTCAAAAGATTTTCTAAGGTATTTGTTGTGTTTGGTTTTGATCTTAGAACATTAAAACAGAAGCAAAACAAAGAAAAAAATACAACTGTGGCGAAAGTTCATGTATAAGTACATTTTATATGGAATAAACTTCAATAAGTCAATAATCCATCATGGGACAAGTTCTAAAACTCCACATGTCTAAAATGATTCAACAGAAATGACCAAGAGTTTGCAAAAGACCTGTTGAAACTAAAATCTGGATACATGAAAAAAAGAGATGGGAAAGTTACATAAACATTTATATTTACAACTAAATAGTTCTCCAACATTAAAAAATGGAGGAAAATAGATATTTTAGAATCAACCTACCTCTCCCTTTTAAAAAAAAAGGAAAAAAGGAGGAAAAAGCATTTAAGCAAAATTGTCCTGAATATGCATGATATGTACTTTAAGTGTTTTTTTTTGTTCTGGGGATGTATAAATACCCTGCCATGTCCGTTTTTCGTTCATTGTTCTGTACATAAATCAGTCCGTTAGATTTCTCGGTTGAATTGTTTTACTTTTTCTGAGCCTTTTAAAGCTGACTATGCAGTATGGGTTTTGCTCATTATTGAAGGCCTGAAGGTTACAGGCAAACAACAATACAATTTGCCAGCTGAATCCTGCCTCCAGGTGCGGGATTTTCTAGGTGTGTTGAAGACCCATTGGTGGACTTCAGCTGTTTTCTGCTTTTTGGTCGGGTTGTTGTCTCTTTGACACATTTCCCATTTCCATTCTCAATTTTATTTTTAATCAATGGAAAGTCAGCCCACTTACATACATTTTTCTCCTGTTTATAATGTATACAATGTTTCTACAATTAAAGGCTGTGACAAACAATCTTATAATATAATAATAAATATGTAGACACTTTTAATTTCAAAATAAAAAGATTAAATATGACATTGAAGTAACACTTTAAATAATAACACAGATTAAATAGTATTAAAATTTTTAATAACTAATTGTTACAGAGAAGAACAAATTAGAATTATTGAAACTTGAATACCAGAAGGTCTTCATTTAAAATGATGGTGAAAAATAGAGACGTATATTTAATATTATAATTTTTATGTAGTTTTGAGGAGGCCTTGTTTCATAGGATTGACATTGTTTGACTGTTAAACAATTTGCATTGAAAGCATGGTATTTATATTGCGTGGGATTTAATGGTCATTTCTTACCAGTGTTCCAATAGTTTACAGAGGGAATTTAAATTAGTTTATTATTTAGGTTAAAAAGAACACCAATGTTTATTTTTCCAATAGAAAAACATTGATGTCTGTATGGGGAAACCTTGAGTTGAAATACAAATCTTATAAAAGAGACGATTTATTTGTGATAAACTTGTGGAATTTAAAGCCTTGAGTTCATTGAATGTAAGAGAGCAAAGTAAGTGTTTACATCAAAATACAATTTTTTTTTTTTGCTTGAAGTAACATAGTTAATAATCTATTTAAGTACATTGATAAAGATTGATTGATGATATCAATATAATACTTTAAAACCTATTTGAGGTTGATATATAATGTACCATATTTTAAATTTTTCCTTTATACTTTTGAATTTTGAATTTTTATAAAGATGAATAGAAAATGAAGAAAACTCTAAGGTTATATAAGAGTCAACGTATTTATAGGAATTTGTGAAGAAAATAATCAAAATTTATGTAATTAAATAATCATAAAAGAGGCCCATTGCTTATAATTATGTTTATGATTGATGAAGTTAGTCTTTCAAAAACCTGTTTCAGTTTTGATTTGAAATCCTTTAAGCTATGTGTAAATTTTGCTGCTTCTTTTCAAAATATCTATGATAGTCTCAGTTGAATTTCTTCACAAGATTTTAAAGCTTATATTGCAATTTGGAGCTAATTGACAAATTGAATAGACACCGCCAGTCAATTACAATCTTTATAGAGTTTATATTCAGAAAAAAAAAAGTAAGCTTTAAGAAAGTTTTAGCTGGCTCCCAAAAACTGTCCATTAAATATAGAACTATTTTCTTAGGGTCTAGTTACTCAGGAGCAAAATGAAAATATCTTTAAACATGTACTTGAGTTTATAAGAGGGTCGAAGAGATTCCTTATTGTTAAGATAGTAAAACATGACCACTTATTTGCATGCAGATGTAAGTAAAGAAAAGTAAGAAATAAAATTGCCATGAATAAGAAGAATGATTAAAAGAAGAGTTGTGGTATTTTTCAATGGGATTGCAATAACCCAAGAAACAATCAACAAAAAGACATATAACTGAACTGTCTAGAGGTCAACATACTGCCCAGAGTCTAGAAAAGATGTTTAATATAAAATATTATAGATAAATGGCATTAGACTGGTCCAGGCCAATTTTCTCTTCCTTAAATTGTTATCTTTCATTGCTGGTGATGTTCCTTGGCCTTAAGTTGTTATCTTTCATTGCTGGTGATGTTCCATGGCCTTAAGTTGTTATCTTTCATTGCCGGTGATGTTCCTTGGCCTTAAGTTGTTATCTTTCATTGCCGGTGATGTTCCTTGGCCTTAAGTTGTTATCTTTCATTGCCGGTGATGTTCCTTGGCCTTAAGTTGTTATCTTTCATTGCCAGTGATCTTTCTTGGCCTTTAGTTGTTATCTTTCATTGCTGGTGATGTTCCTTGGCCTTAATTTGTTATCTTTCATTGCTGGTGATGTTCCTTGGCCTTAAGTTGTTATCTTTTATTGCCGGTGATGTTCCTTGGCCTTAAGTTGTTATCTTTCATTGCCAGTGATCTTTCTTGGCCTTTAGTTGTTATCTTTCATTGCTGGTGATGTTCCTTGGCCTTAATTTGTTATCTTTCATTGCTGGTGATGTTCCTTGGCCTTAAGTTGTTATCTTTTATTGCTGGTGATGTTCCTTGGGCTAAAGTTGTTATCTTTCATTGCTGGTGATGTTCCTTGGCCTAAAGTTGTTATCTTTCATTGCTGGTGATGTTCCTTGGCCTAAAGTTGTTATCTTTCATTGCTGGTGATGTTCCTTGGCCTTAAATTGTTATCTTTCATTGCTGGTGATGTTCCTTGGCCTTAAGTTGTTATCTTTCATTGCTGGAGTTGTTATCGTTCATTGCTGGTGATGTTATCTTTCATTGCTGGTGATGTTCCTTGACCTTAAGTTGTTATCTTTCATTGTTGGTGATGTTCCTTGGCCTTAAATTGTTATCTTTCATTGCTGGTGATGTTCCTTGGCCTTGTTATCTTTCGTTGCTGGTGGTGTTCCTTGACCTTAAGTTGTTATCTTTCATTGTTGGTGATGTTCCTTGACCTTAAGTTGTTATCGTTTATTGTTGGTGATGTTCCTTGGCCTTAAATTGTTATCTTTCATTGCTGGTGATGTTCCTTGGCCTTCAGTTGTTATCTTTCATTGTTGGTGATGTTCCTTGGCCTTAAGTTGTTATCTTTCATTGCTGGTGATGTTTCTTGGCCTCAGTATTTTGATTCCGTACAGGTATAATCAACAACTACTATGTGAGAAATAGTTATATTGATTTCAGAAAAGTTATCATGATATTACCACATCTGTAGTAAAGTTTAGATCTATGTGGGTAGCATTATTTAGAGATAACATGATATTAATTAAGGTATTAAAAGATAGTTATTAGAGTACAAGAGAAACCTCATTTATTCTATTAATAAGCTTATAGCACAGGAAATAATTCACCTGGATCTCGGTGATGGGTAGAAAAGTGCATAGATTTTATGTTCAGTAACATGGTTAAAGGCTCTTACAAAAAAGGATTATTGCAATAGAATCCTTCAAGTTTTTGCAGTTTAAGAATTTGACCAACCTAAATATTGATACAAGGTAGGCTACATGTAAGTTAGGAAGCTGTCAACAAAAATACAATAAATAAATTGACAATAAGGATTGATTGATTGAAAAATGTTCTTGCCTTGAATTTTGATTATAATTTTTATACAAATGATTTCTATAAAATGCAATTTTTTACTTATAGAGAAAGAATTCTTGGACTACAGATTAGGCAGTACTAGTATTACACACAAGTTTTCACCGACTTTAATTGATAGACTTGATGGTAAGTATCTTTTTTGGGGTTTTATTTCCAACGTAGTGGTTGAATGTTATTCATTAATATAATTTTCAGTAATATAACTTTTAAGAACCTTTTATTAAATCATGCAAAGGTTAAGATATTTTCCACAGGTTCATATTCATACTTTAAAATGAGCTAAAATTTTGTTTCAACCCATTGTATCTAAGTAAAAAAAACAAGCTCCTTTGTTGCTGTAAATCATATTTGTATTCTTTCAATGGGACAGTACATTGTCCAAAAATTTAAATCAGCAAAGGTAATATAAGTCAAACTGGGTAATATTTTCCTTCCTTTGCAAAAATTTAGCTCTGTGCATCATCAATGCCTGTTAAGACAATTATGTATATATGATTTTTTGTAGAAACATCCTTGGATAGTGATCTTTGAAGTTCTATAATATAAATAAGAAGATGTGGTATATGAGTACCAATGAGACAACTCTCCATCCAAGTCACAATGTGTAAAAAGTAAACAATTATAGATCAAAGTATGACCTTCAACACAGAGCCTTGGCTCACACCGAACAGCAAGCTATAAAGGGCCCCAAAATGACTATAAATTCACTCTCAAATAAATCAAAAGAAAATATGGACTTTGTAGGTATTCAAAATTTATGGTTTTAATTTATTTTTATGAAACCCAATGACAAAAAGTGGTACAGTAAACATGTTAAGGAACAAATTCTAATGTATTGATAAAATTCTTCATGTATAAAGTACAAGTGTGATTTGGCAGGTGTACATTTCAAGTGTGATTTGGCAGGTGTATTGTTTTGTATATTTTTGGAGTATACTTTAATTCAGATAATTAAAAAAATTACCTTGATATTTGATGGCAGTGGTACTTTAGAGGTGAATAATTATTACTACCGGTATCATATACTTAGAGTAAATAACTTATACTTTTTACAGTATGATAATAGCATTAAATTTACGTGAATTCCATGTTTTCCGAAATGGTGCTTAGCACGGTGATATGAAAAATTTATCAACTGCTTTCGGCTATTATCGCATGCCTTTCCGTAACGTTATCGCATGGCATTCTGGCGTTACTCTGCAAATTTCGGAAAATACACGTCAATGGTACATTTTCAGTGAAAAACAATACAAAGTAGGGTACAAAACAAATGTTAATTTTTCAAAGTTTCCAGCATAATTTAACAAGTTACTTTACAAATGTTGACTTTTCTAAATAGTGTTCATCATGTTTTGTTGATTTTTTTTTTATCGTCAATCTAAAAAATATATTATACTGTTGTTTTTGTCCTCTTTTGAGGCATATGATAGAAAGATTTCATATCAGATGTATTACATTTGGCGTCCGTTGTCCGTAAACTTTTCACTTTTTAAACTTCTACTTGAGAACCACTTAAAAGGATCAATATATTAAACTGTTAATTTTCTCCATTTTTGAAGCATATGATAAAAAGATCATAAGATGTCATTTTTCATATCAGATATATTATCAGCCCAAGGTTCAATATCAGCCCCAAGCCTTCGTCTCTGGGGCTGATATTGAACCATGGGCTGATAATACATCTGATATGAAAAATGACGTGTAATAATCTGATATTATTACATTGGTTGCAATGAAATACTGCGATTTCCCAGTTAATTAAAAACAGATAATTTCACATCTGAAATAAATCTACTAATATTACTCTTCGACCTCATATCCAACAATGAGTGGTGTCAAGACATTCTTGATGACGTTGTATCAAAACTAATTGGGTGAACTAGTGTGATGTTCTGTCACTTGTTGAATACTTTTCTATATTTGAATTCTCCAGTTAGTAATTCTATAGATACTGACAGTTAATTGTGCTTTATAGTAAAGTAATTAGTAATATAAGACCTATCTTCATGACATTGTCTCCCAGAAACAGATCATCTATTTTTTATAATTAATATTTGAACAAGATCTCATGTACAGAAATTAGGTTTCACACTGAGATGTAATTTCAAGGGATATAAAGCTGACAGGTATTTGTAATAGCTTTGTGTCTCATTATATCCTTGTTACAAAGGAGGGGTATACTGTTTCCCCCCTGTCAGTTTACATGCTTCCTTTCCCATCTGTCTGTCCGTCCATCTGTCTGGTTGAATTTCTGTCACATTTTCTAAGGAACTACAAACCAGAGCTTCCTGTATAATTATTATTATGCTTCATGTAAGCATGATTTACTGAGTGATGTGTTTTCACATTCATCTCTGATAAACATGATTTACTGAGTGATGTGTTTTCACATTCATCTCTGATAAACATGCTGTTTACAGAATACTTATTTATTCTTTCACATCAAGATCTTTTATGAAAGTTTTTGTCTCGTTTTTGCCAGGAACTAAAACCCAGAGCTTCCTGAAATTTGTTATGAGGCTTCATGTAAACATTAAATAATTGCTTATATCCACTTCTTTTGAACTCTGGTAGATAGTAGTCTCATTGGCAAATTATTCCATTGATTGTATATGCTAGCTGTAAATGTGTAAGTTGCTATTCAATGATTGATCCTGTTATGATATATATATATATATATATATATATATATATATATATATATCAGTTGGTTAAAGAGCTCGTAACAGCTCATTTTCTATGTTTTGATTGTGAATATGAAAACCCGACTTTGAATAAAGATTACTTTACTTTACTATAAATTCAGAAAATATTGCGTGCATTTATTATTGCGATTTTTGTGGAAAGGACAAAAATGCGAGAGTAATTATTTCGCTTGCAGGAAAATTTGCATACAGTTATATATATATGATATCGTAATGCGAGTTCTTATTATTGTGATACTCATTCAATAGCATTATTTGCATTAATAAAAACTTCACAATAATTTCTGAATTTACAGTACTTTATACCACATTTCCTTATTTTTATATACCATGTGATGTATTTTGACATTCGATGCTTATCAAGGTCTTGTTCACTGGATACTTATATATTCTAACACAGAATGACCATGTATGAAATTTTGCCACATTTTTCACAGGGACTAAAATTTGGCTTCATGTGAACATGCTATATTGTGTAAAGTATTTAGATCCATTGCTCATTAAATTTCTGTTTACAGAATACTTCTATATTCCTACAAATAATGAATGAAAATTTCATCAGAAGCTATGAATCAGAGCAGACCTGGAATTTTGGTATCAGCATTCACGTGAGCATGATACACCATGGAATGCTTTTTAATATCTGTTGCTCGTCAACTTCCTGTTTACCGAATAATAATAGCCAGAATATCATAAGTGAGCAATAGCTCACAGTTCAATGTTTTTTTCCCCTTAAATGGTATACAGTAGCAGCTGTAGCTACCTTAGTTGCCAGCACATTTTGCCTCTGCTTTCCAAAATATGTCCTGTCTTCTATTTTCTTGTTCAATCTTAGTGTTCATCATGAAGGTAGCTAGATGTGCAGGTTTTTTATTTCCTTGTTCACCTTAGTGGTCATCATGAAGGTAGCTAGATGTGCAGGTTTTTTATTTCCCTGTTCACCTTAGTGGTCATCATGAAGGTAGCTAGACGTGCAGGTTTTTTATTTCCTTGTTCACCTTAGTGGACATCATGAAGGTAGCTAGACCTGCAGGTTTTTTATTTCCTTGTTCACCTTAGTGGTCATCATGAAGGTAGCTAGACATGCAGGTTTTTTATTTCCCTGTTCAACTTAGTGGTCATCATGAAGGTAGCTAGACGTGCAGGTTTTTTATTTCCCTGTTCACCTTAGTGGTCATCATGAAGGTAGCTAGACGTGCAGGTTTTTTATTTCCTTGTTCACCTTAGTGGTCATCATGAAGGTAGCTAGACGTGCAGATTTTTTATTTCCTTGTTCACCTTAGTGGTCATCATGAAGGTAGCTAAACGTGCAGGTTTTTTATTTCCTTGTTCACCTTAGTGGTCATCATGAAGGTAGCTAGACGTGCAGGTTTTTTATTTCCTTGTTCACCTTAGTGGTCATCATGAAGGTAGCTAGACGTGCAGGTTTTTTATTTCCCTGTTCACCTTAGTGGTCATCATGAAGGTAGCTAGACGTGCAGGTTTTTTATTTCCTTGTTCACCTTAGTGGTCATCATGAAGGTAGCTAGACATGCAGGTTTTTTATTTCCTTGTTCACCTTAGTGGTCATCATGAAGGTAGCTAGACGTGCAGGTTTTTTATTTCCTAGTTCACCTTAGTGGTCATCATGAAGGTAGCTAGACGTGCAGGTTTTTTATTTCCTTGTTCACCTTAGTGGTCATCATGAAGGTAGCTAGACGTGCAGGTTTTTTATTTCCTAGTTCACCTTAGTGGTCATCATGAAGGTAGCTAGACGTGCAGGTTTTTTATTTCCTAGTTCACCTTAGTGGTCATCATGAGGCCTAGGGTAGCTAGACGTGCAGGTTTTTTATTGTGTGTTTTTCTTTAAAGACATATATATATATACATGATCTAGATTGGCAAAGAGAGAGGGTTGTGGAAACATAAAACTGGTTTAATTTCACCACATATATTATTACTGTACCAAGTCAGGCTTTCTTGTCACATAGTTGGCACAGGTTTTATGAGTATTGCTCAGATCAGTGGGAAATACTGGGAAAACCAGGTTTTACTGGGTAATATTGGGCAATACTGGGTATTATGAAATACTTGTTTGAATCTTGTAGAGGATTCAGTGTTCAATTACAAATGCAATACATCACAAATGTATAAACAAGACATAATATTTTAATTTATTAGCTTATTTGATTGTGATTGTTTTTTGTCCAGAAACATGAGCACACATACAGTAGACTTAAGTTTTGTCAATAAGATTTATGGATAATCCTCCCTAATACATGTACACATTGGAAAAAAAATCTGTCATAATTGGTCAAACTAGTACTGTTATCATGAGCCAAATCATTCTTTTTGTAAATTTTTTATATTTGTAACTCAAATTTAGAGTAAACAATTTTTTATGTAAAGAAAATGACTATTCCACAATTTTTTTTCATTACTATTTTTAGTGTTGAAACAATTTTAGCATAATTACATAGACATCACTAATTAATCAGTAATTATTCAGATTATAAAACAGATTTGTTTATTTTTCAATGATAAGCCTTTTGATCTTTATAAGTGTGGGTGACATGTTCCCTTAGGGTGTATATTTAGCAATATGATTGTATAGCAATTAAATTTTCAAATGCGTTATACTTATAAACTACACCAATCCTTTCAAGGTGGAAAATTGCAATTTTTGAACACCGACCAAGCATATTGACATCCTTCACCGAGTCGGAGACAGACACCTACTGTAAATAATGGTATAACATACAGGGATCAATCAAAAGGCTTCAGTTTAAGTACCTAGTCACAACTGGATATTTTATATCAGGCGTTTAATTTGGTATGCCAGACACAAGTTTTGTTTACATAATACTCTCAGTGGGGCAGTGCTTATCTTTTAAGCATGTTGCCTTGAGGAGTAAGAGCAAAAACTGGTTGGCTCTGAGTCAGAATAATGTAACTCTGTAGGGTGACATTTCTTCTTGTGGATTGTTACCTTGCGAACTAGCATGTTGAAAATCTGTCAGGGTTCATATTCAAATTACATAAACTTGTTCTAAGATTCATTGCCTCTAGACAAAAAGCCCCAATCCAGCTGTCCATCTCAAAATTAGAAGAATAATGTTCTGATGCTACAAGATGAATTTAGACAAGCACCACATTAGTGAAAGCTTGTACGTCAGTACTGATTTCCAAAAACTGATAAATACCTAAATTTTTGCACTTTTTGTAGATGTAGAGGATGAAATCAACACAGAGATATTAATTAATGATCTACAAAAACAGGTTGAACTAATGGATCTTACTGTAAAAAGAAAGAGGATCGAATCTCTACTGGAAACTGATCCCATCAATAGATCTAAACTGACTACTGTAGGTAGGTTCATAAAGAAACAGGTTACAGTCTCTACTGGAAACTGATCTCATCAATAGATCTAAACTGACTACTGTAGGTAGGTTCATAAAGAAACAGGTTACAGTCTCTACTGGAAACTGATCACATCAATAGATCTTAACTGACTACTGTAGGTATGTACATAAAGAAACAGGTTACAGTCTCTACTGGAAACTGATCACATCAATAGATCTTAACTGACTACTGTAGGTATGTACATAAAGAAACAGGTTACAGTCTCCACTGGAATCTGATCACATCAATAGATCTTAACTGACTACTGTAGGTATGTACATAAAGAAACAGGATACAGTCTCTACTGGAATCTGATCACATCAATAGATCTAAACTGACTACTGTAGGTAGGTTCATAAAGAAACAGGTTACAATCTCTACTGGAAACTGATCCCATCAATAGATCTAAACTGACTACTGTAGGTAGGTACATAAAGAAACAGGATACAGTCTCAACTGGAATCTGATCACATCAATAGATCTTAACTGACTACTGTAGGTAGGTACACAAAGAGAGAGGATACAGTCTCTACTGGAAACTGATCCCATCAATAGATCTAAACCTGCTGCTGTAGGTAGGTACATTACTGCATTGGAGGAAGCAGGGTTGCATTGGGTATTACTGATTGGAAACAAGTGAATACAATCTCATAGTTTTGGCATCGAGGATGCAGGGTAAGGTAGTACTAAATGAAAGAGGAAGTCAAACCTCTGTTAGGTCTGGTCAAACTGAAAATGTATTAACTTGCTACACTGATAAAGTTTAAATGTTGAGTGTCTTTATGTGTCAGAAATAATGGATCTTATTGGTAAAAGAAAGAGTATAGAATCATTTGTAGATTGACTTGTAAGAGGGGCAGAAGGACCTTTCTTGGGACATCACGATTAAGTCGTTTGATTCGTTGGAATTCAGGATTAGCCAGTTAAATCATTGGGTTCTGGAATTCTGGTTTTCATTATATTGTGATGCAGAAAGGAACATATTCTTTTCATGGGATTTGGTATTTATTTTTTCAGGAATTAGGGATGAGACCCAATTCCTACCCCTGTCTCTTGTAATAATGTCAGGTGCTTTTTACAGAATTTTAATTTCAGCAGTGTAAGAAAAAAATCTGAATTTTAAAAAAGGAATCAATACATCATAATAGTGTCTTAAACATCAATAAATTTACACAAAATAATTAATGTGCAAGCAGGCTGAGAACTTAACAATTAAAAAGCAGTTGTTTAAGTCTGAGCATCATTTCTAAGTTGAATTTGATCAACAAACAGAAAAGAAAATTTGAAAAATATTTATGAAAAGTGTAAGATCCATTGGTGGCCTTGGGCTGTTTTCTGCTCTTGGGTGGGTTGTTGTCTCTGATCGATGCATTCCCCATTTCCATTCTCAATTTTACCTTTTTGTATGTGATTCAGTGGCTCAGTGTTATGGATAACCACTATGACTTATATTTATATATATACTGTGAATTCAGAAATTATTGCAAGGTTTATATTTATGCGAAAATTGCAATTGGGTGAGTATCGCAATAGTAAGAACTAGCATTTGATATTTGATACATATAACTTATTTGTATGAGGCTTTTCATTAAATTGCAAAAACTATTCTCACCATTTTGTTCAATCTTCAAAAATTGCAATAATAAATGCTTGCAATTGTTCTGAATTTACAGTATTTGCAATTAAGGAAGGGATATAATTTGAACTATTTAATTGCAGATGATTGTAAATACCTTTCATTTCCACCTGCCAAACAGAGGAATGCTAATGAACCTTATGACCACATGAAAGATGCAGCATTTTTTTATGATGTGACAGAAAGGTTTAAAAAAGGGATGAAATTGGACCCAGATTTTAAGACTCGTAATGTTGAAGTAAATACAATTTCAAAGGTAATATGTCAGTTTTTTTATCAGTTACCAAATTGATCAGCTTTCAACTGATCCATCAGTTGTCGATTTTAATATTTGGTTTTGAAAATTTAAAAACCTGTGGATATGCAGTCAATTTTTTCCAACCTTTTGAATAAAATGTTGGTGAACAATTTTTTCCTCAGAAAATCTTTAGAATAACCATTCACAAAAGTTATTCTCTTGGTTTTAAAGTTGTATTTTCAGAGATGTTAAGAAACCTGTTGATGATATTTTGAATTTTTATTCTTCCCACTGACCATGACATGTTTAAACAGAATATGGACTATGCCAATATCAACCTAGGGGTGTACATCTTTCATCCACCACTTATCTTTAAGCAATTACTATTTAAAAATTTCATAGAATCTTCTTACTTAATGCCATTTTTTCAACTCCCAATCAAATTAATAAATCAAATTATTGTGGGGAGTTAAGCAATATCTGTACAAATGGGTAGACAAGTGTATTCATTTCTGAGCTCTGCTCATAGTTTTTCTAAATTTCTACACCACACCCACCTCCAAGTTTTATAAGAATATTTTATCATTCAATTTTCTTTTCTTTTTAAAGGCAACATTAACTGACAGATTTCAGGAAAAGTATCGGGATAAGATCAAGGGTTTACATGACCCATCAATGGTTGCTGATTTATACTTTTGTTCAGACAAAATGGAGAGAGCCCAGGACATTTTAAAACTGGGATTTTCATCCTCAGGTAATGTATGAAGAACATGCTATCATCATCAAAAAAATTAATATCATAAAAAATAGAATATGATTTTTAGAATATATCATCTCAGAAGAGCACATTGAATTTTTAGAAGTTTTTTTTAAAACAATGCAAAACGGAATTTCAAATGTTTATTTCTTCTGAAACTGACATCATCAAGTTGTGCTTGATTTTTTAAACGACAACATATTTGTAATATATGATGGACACAGGGAACCAAAAGTACTACCATTCCCACATAGGTGTAATGCATTTGAACTGCCCGATGGACCTTATTTTACAAATCAAGCCAAAGTTTTTTTTAGCAGACTCCTGGTCTGTCATTCTAAAAATCCTATGTATGTTTTCTAACGAAATACATTTATTGAAACAGTTATTGAAGTTTCAGCATATTTTTTTATTGTAGATGTATTTTTGTATTTAAGGGGACAACCGTTTGACTATAAAAGAACATTGAAGTCTGAGTGAAAAAGTGCATTTTTATACCTGGGATTTCGTTCTTGAGATGTTTCAACAAAATATTGAATCATGGCTGTTGTTGATTTAATATTGAAAATTTGACTGAATTATCTCTTATACGGTTTTATGTTGTTTAATTCATGTTTCTTTTTGAAATAGGTCAAGTTGCTCTTATTCATTCATAAAATTATCGTAAAATCACTACGCACCTTATAGTAATCACGGTAATCTTATCTTGCATTATTTTTTTTAAATTAAAAGAAGCACAGTTTAGGCATTCTGATTACACTTACCATGTTTTTAATACTTCCTTGAAATTATGGGCCCTGTTATTTATTAAGGGTTTCCTGAATTGCTGTTGATACTGATAGACTCCACTCTGTAAACAAATGATATAATGACAGGGTCATATGTCATAATGACCCTTCTAGGCAATTGAAATGATGACCAGTAATTCTCTATGTTTATGTATCAAAAAAAGGACCATCATAACTGACCTTGAAATGTTGTTTGCGCAAATAATTTTGCGGAACAAAACGTGTTAGAAACACATTACAATAAGTTCGTTTTCCTTTTTTGTCATAATTCCGTAAGATTTATAATCTTATAGATGAAATTGGCCTGTCCAAACGTGAAAGATGCCAAGTTAAGAGTAAGGATATTCACAAACAATTTGGAATTTTCTTGTTTCATAGATTGAAGAAAAAAGTTCGTCCATTTGGATATCAAAAACGGGAATGCATGACAAATGATGAAATCAATATCCTTGTCTTTCCAGTGGATGAGTCTACTTTTGACACGTTTTTCAAACGACGTGTTGGCTATTTTTATTTCACATGTTTTCGTGCTTAAAGATCATTATTCACCATGTTTCCTGAAAGTTGATAAAAAGCAACGTGGAGCTGTTTTTTCTGGTTTCGTGAAATGACGATTTAATTTCATGTTTGTCCTTAATACGGGGATTACCCCCCTTTTTCGCTTATATGACAATGGCAATTGTTATTGTATGTTTAAAACAGCTGAGCAATAATGTTTGGGACTAAGATTTAAGAAATGATTACAAAATAGCATACCAAACATATTGTTAGTAAGCTGAAAGATATATTTATTTTTTACATATTTATGTCTTGTAGGATATTTTTTTTCTTTTTTTTCCGACAGACACACCAGACTTTTTTATGTTAAAAAATCCGTAAACCAACAAATTAAAAAACCCTGGCCTTAGTGATGAAAGGGTTAAAGCAGGTTAATCGACAGTTAATGTGCATTTCATGAAAGTTTCAGAAGCCGGTCCCCCCTTCAAATTATTTAATCAGTATGTATGAATGAATGATTCTTATTATAAAAAAAACTATAGTTCGGTAGAACACTCGCATCACTAAAGTTGAAATCATCAACTGAAAGGTTAAATTTAAACCAATTATGATATAATTAAAATTAAAGCATTAAAGATAATGAAGCCAGGTGCATGGATTGTTATGTAAATTATTGCCCAGTAATAAACACTCTACAAGGGGATAATCTATTATGATTTCTTCGGGATTTATACGTTTCCGCACATATATTTGCCTCCACCGTAAGCTGGGTAAATGTGTCATACCCTTGGGAAATGTAAAACATTGTAAAAATGACTTTCTGCTGGATAAGTTTTTTTATTGATATAGTGTTAAAACATCCTTACTTCTCACTAGACAAGACTCCTGTCAGGTTTAGTTCTTTTACATGTGGATGAAAAATAAAAGTCACAAAAACATTAACTAGGCAGCAATTGCTTTAACAGCCTTTAAGGCTTTGATTTAGAAGAGATATTTTCTGATAAAAGGGAGGTAACCAAGTCTAAACCATATTCAAATGCATTGTACATTTAATGTACAAATGTTAAGTCCAACTTATGTATAAGTTATGTTACTTCTCTGAAATTCTCAATGATGATTTGAGTTAAGTGTGATTGCTATTACTTATTTAAACTTTACAAAGACCTGGCCTGTGTTTCACAATAAATCTTAGGACAAACATGGATCGTAAGTCATAAATAGTTCACTATACTTACAATAAATTTTTGTTTTAAGATTTTTTAGTGATACATAGGATGGCATTTTGTCAAATCAATTTATCTTTTGAAATATTGTTTAAATTTTTTGTTTATATTTGATTGTTACAGATATTGTAGCTGGATCGTATGGTAAAGGCTTATACTTCTCTAAGTTTCCCTCCAGAGCCTCTCAACATTCCAAGGTACGTACTTATGTTGATAACAGTAATTGTTGTTTGAGAGTTACACCAAAATTGACACACTTTTTACTGTGTGTCCAGTTATCTCTTAATGTTGTATGATTGAAAAATTTTGTACTTACATTAAACAGAAGTAAGTATTTCATATTTTGTTTTCATTAATCCAAATTCTTTTAAGGCCTCACCAAATTTATATCTTGTTCAGTGAAATTGGTGCTTCAAATTATTTTTTTTTTAAATGACATATATTTTATTGCACATCATTGCTGTTAACAATTTACTTAGTGTACAGCCTTGCATTAAGTATCCCTGATATATTAGTTGTTAGGTATCCAGGGAGAATATCTAATTAAAGTAAGTTGATACATTACAATATTAATGATTTCATGTTTACCAGGGTAGTCCATTTCTGTCCAATAATGGTTTTCCATATTAGTTAATTTATTCAGCGTGTTTGCGATCATCATCTATGATTTAATATTCTGGATAACTTGAATATCTACAAAATATGATATATAGACAAATTGTCATTTATTAACTGGTAAGTTAACCATTGTCTTATTGATTTTTGTATCATAAGCTAAGTTTGCACTTATGTGAACTTTGAGGTAAGAATTTGTTTGTAAAGTTCTGATTAAGTATACAAAATACCCAGGTAGACATGATTATACATAACATCAGAATATACAACACAAAGTTACAAAAATCAAAATAAGTGTATGTGTTATACAATATTTTATCTTTTAATGTGACATACATATTTAAAAATAGCTCTTTTTTGTTTTGATTCAGAGATATAAAATGATTTGTAGATGGACAAAAATATTACAGTAAAAAAGTAGTTAATTTCATAGTAAGCTTCATCATTTATTTTATATCATACTATAAGATTTTCCATATTTAAAAAGTTTTCATTGAACCCTAAGAAATTAAGTAGGCTTTTAATATTTTTGATATGAAAAATCATTATTGTAACTGCAAGATAGAAAAAAGTGTTCATAGTCTTCTTTTTTTCAGTCAGGAAAAGTATTATTAGTAGAAGTAGGATTAGGGAAAGTTGAGACTGTAATGAAGAGAGATGGACAAAGACAAAAACCTGGGGCTGGTTTTGATTCTATTCTGGTTAGTACACATATTCAAAAATTACAATATATGAAAATGTTAATGAAGAAAAAATCTGCCACATTTATGCTGTTATATGTACTAGCTTTGAAGGCCTGATATGCTTTTATTCACATTCTTATTGATGACATATGAAAAAAAAACTCATCAAAGATACTAGGCTTATAATTTTGTACGCCAAACACATGTTTTATCTACAAAAGACTCATCAGTGATGCTGGAATAAAAAAAGCTGAAGAGCATTGAAGACCAGCACTTTTGAAAGGTTTTTCCAAATACAGCTAAGGTTATCTATTCCAGGAGTAAAAAATTCTTTGTATTTCGAACAATTCCAAAATTTGTAAACGGTTCATTTATAAATAAGAACATATCAATGATACTTCATGTCAACACAGAAGTGCTGATTACTAGGCTAGTGATAAAGAAAAGAAAAAGATTAGCAATATTGAAACATAAAAAGTATTGTTTATATAAAAACATATTTTACTGACTTAGTCCACTCCGTGCATCTTAGCACATGAGGCCATCATAAAAAAAACATATTCCACCCCTTAACAATTAGATGTCTATTTTTCAGTATTAAGACATTTGAAAACAAAAACATGGTGATTAATGATTTTTATGTTATTTATTAGATTCCTGGTAGAGTTATACGAGATACAGGCAATGGAGATAGCACAATGAATGAAGAATATGTTATATTTGACCAAAGTCAGGTTATGCCCCTTTGTCTTATCAGCATGACAGAACCGTGATATACCATTCACAATTAGAACAATTAGTGCCATTTTAACATATCAATAACCACCGATATGATGATATTGTTTACATCACATTGGTCAGATATTTTAGGTATTACATTCCAGCAGCTCATTTCACAAGAAATCTTACGAGAAAAAATACTCGTTAGTCATGAACATTTTAGTATAACTTACAATTTTAATCGTAAGATATTTTGTGAAAAGAACACAAGTATTTTGTTTCTTATGATTGGATATCCTTAATTTTGACAGGCCATCTTTTTTGAGTTTATGTTACAGATATATTTTGTTTTAATTTAAGTTTGAACTTTCAAACATCCATGGTTATTTTTCATTTTTTCAAGACTTTTTATAACTTTTTTTATGAATGAATGTTAATGTTTGATAAGAAAATAGTTTTCAGGACAAAAGAAAGATAGACACAACTTGTACATAGAAACACTACTAAGACATAATAAATTAAATATCACAAAATATTTCACAGAAAGAATGGGCAAAAAGCCACACCAACTGGTAAAAAAAACTGAGATTAAGTCTGTACAAGCATATCCTGCTCCACAAGTGACCACCATCATGTTGCTCATGTCCTGAAAAATGCACAATTTATACTCCATATGCATGTACACATCAATTCATACTATATTGTACTGTTGTGAACAAGCCCTATAGCGGCTGTAGTGGAAGATGCTGTAGCATTTAATCATTTTTTAGTTTCATTGAAAATAATGATGAAAGATTATCAATAATAATTTATTTGAGGAAATATTATCAAATTACCATAAAAAAATAATTACAATTATTCTTGATCGAAGTGTAGTGATAGATTATGGACATTTATTTTATATTATCTTTTTAATGCTGAAACATTTTCAGCAGTCCATATAGCTATATATAGGCAGAGTGTTCATTTTAAAGTTTTTTACTATCTTTTACAATAATGATCCGTCCAAAACTGTATTGTGTGATACCTATTAATTAAGTTTTTTTGACAATCTTGTTTTTAACATGAACTTTCAGTATTGTTGATAATTTCAGGCTCATCTCATGTAATTTTGGATTTGATAACCTGTATATTATTATTTATGTTTAAAACACATATTTTTGTCCTTTTCTATGTTTAATATATTTATTGAATGTTGCTTATCTTAAAATCATACGATTTTATGAAATTTCCGAGTCATTAAGATTTGAGCATAAAAGTCGTTACACAATAAATTTATTAATCTAAAATAAGAAATATTAGCTTTTCCAAACTACAGTTTGAAGCTTGACTTTTGTCTTATGTTTTGTTTTAATTATCTGAAATTGATTTGCAAGCTGGACAAACCTATTATTTTAGGACTGAAATCAAAGTAATCTCTACAGTAAAGTAAGAAAATGGGTTTCACTTATATATATTATTAGGTCTATTATATGGTTATATATCAATTTGATGTATAAAAACCTTGAATTTTTTAGGAAAAATTACCTTTAAGTCTTGATAACTGCATTGTTGGTGTATGAGTTACGTGTGCATTTTGCATTTTGCAATCATACATTTATTTTAGGTGCAAATGTTTTTCTCTATTTTTGAATCATCGAATGTGCTATATAAAATGTTAAAACACAGTGCTATGAATGGAATTTCATTATCTTTTTGAAATGTTTGAATCATCAAAACATTTGTAAAGGTTCAATTTGTACTATGTTTTGTTTTAAAAGTAATGTATGTCTTGTTTGAAAGTCTTTATATTTTTATTTATAAGATAATATGAGGTATCAGAATGGGGATTATGAGCTAAATACTTGTTTTTTAAGAATATGAGAATGATGATATTAAAAACAGTGGAAGTATTTAAACAAACTGCAACACCAAAAACAACAATTCTTATTAATATAACATATTAAAATAGACATAATTCTGAAGGTACTATTGTGACATATAGTTGCTAACTTCTATGTCATTTGGTCTCTGTCTCTTTGGCAATCATACCAAATCTTATTTTTATATCAAGTGAAATAGTGAACAAATTGAAAGTAGAACAATTATTTGTGCTAACATGAGTCTCTATGTATGGTATGTAGTGTATTTATATTTATTTATGTGATGGAAGTGTATTTTATAATAAATAGATGTGAAAATGTGCTTTTACTCTTTTTATTTTGTAGCACATGGTAATTATTTTGTGGCAACTAACCCTTCACAAGGAAGCTATTAAACCAAGAGTTCCAAATGGTGAAGTTGAAATCATCCCTTCGTAAATTTTACGGATGCCATCACGAGTTGGTTGACTGTTATGGAATAACCGTTTCACAGATGATATTGGATATGTTCCTTATGTCGTAACTACAATACCCTTCCCTTTTCACGAATGTGACCTACCAAATTAGACTATTTACCGGATTTGTAATAACATAAGTAACACGACGGGTGCCACATGTGGAGCAGGATCTACTTACCCTTCCGGAGCACCTGAGATCACCCCCAGTTTTTGGTGGGGTTCGTGTTGCTTAGTCTTTAGTTTTCTATGTTGTGTCATCGTACTATTATTTGTCTGTTTGTCTTTTTATTTTTGGCCATGGCTTTGTCAGTTTGTTTTCGATCTATGAGTTTGACTGTCCCTCTGGTACCTTTCGTCCCTCTTTTGTAGGTAGCTACTTTTCCGAGTTGTAGTAAATGACATGTGGAGGTAGCTAGCATTGGACACTTAAGTCTTAGAAATGTATTACATGTTTTCTGTGTGCATAATTGGTAAATTATTTTGCAGTTAAATCGACAATTAACCTTTCTGTGTAGTTTCTTTTAAAGGTGAAGTTATAAAGTTATGAAGATGTAGATAAATCTTGCAATTATGTGTGTTTGTTAGGTATTGAAATCATACGGGTCAGTTGTAAAAGCTTGACTCAGATGAATTTGCCATAGGTGTACTCGATTTCAACAAAGTGCAATGAAAATGTTTTAAAATCTCTCACAGAATGCTTTTTTGCACCTCATATTTTCTTCTTTTTTTTTGAAGTCTATAATAGGTTTTAGTCCATTGTCGGCTACGATCTCCAGGGAAAATTTAGTTTGTCCAGGCAGGACTTATCTGCTGCTGATGTCTATCCTGAGCAACTAATAATTCTAGTAAGTTGGGGTTGCCTCCAATTATAATTATATATTTTCAATGTTTCTTTCTGATGATAGTTATTTCGTCCTGTGCTTTGATTTGTGATTTTACCGATTGTGACCAATTATAGATTGTGTAATTTTGACTGAACGTGAATTTGCATGGCGGGTGATTCACGAACAGCATAAGACACTTTCCCTGTCGTTGGACCCGACTCGCTACTTTTTGCATTTTCATCATTTTTTTGTTACCTTGTTTTGTCTCTTCTAGATTTGAAAATCGGTAGTAAACTATGTCGTCTTAATGCTAAGCAGATATATTTTTATAAACAAAATTTTAGTCCTGGTATCTATGACGAGTTTATTTACAACCACTGGGTTGATGTCACTGTTGGTGGAGGTTTTCCTCCTGAAGATACCACCAGCCCAGTAGACAGCACTTCTGTTTTGACATGAATTATCATTGATATGGTAAAACTAACAAATTAGCTGTTTTCAAAACTTTGAATTTTTCGAAATATTAAGGATTTTCGACCCCAGGGATATATTACCTTAGCTGTTTTAGACAAAACCTTGCAGAATCTTCAACTTTGTACTTCACTTGGCCTTTTTACCTTTTTTGATTTGAGCGTCACTGATGATAGACGAAACGCGCATTGGGCGTACAAAATTTAAATCCTGGTATCTATGATGAGTTTATTTATGGGCATTTTCTTTTTTCCTTCTATTTTTATTGTAACAGTTACCAATTTTGTGTCTTTTCTTTTTTGCGTTGTTCCCAAGTTAAAGCGATTATTTTATCTAATATCATTAGGGTTTATTTGGCGATCTCTGCATTTCGTGTCATATATAAAGTAGTCTTATAAGATCTTTATTGATTTGATGTTTGAACCAAACCTGGTTTCTTTTCCTATGGTTATAGTTGGATCAGTTATCTCAATAATTGCTTGAAGTAGTTCCGTTTTTTTTAAAAGCAGGAAATTGATGTTAAATAATCTAATACGTTACTTAGACACATTGACTTGTCAATCTTGTTTCTAGTTGAAACATCTCTTCAACAAAACTATATTTCATGACAATTGAAATATCTAATATGCAAGAAAGCATGCACAGCAGGGCTTATAGCTTGCGGCGACTGCGACACATCGACACAAACAATTTGCATAAAAATGTCAGATATAGAATTTAGCAAACTAGACAAAAGCTATATGCCCCGCTGTGCATGCTTTCTTGCAAATAAGATATTTCAACTGTCATGAAATATAGTTTTGTTGAAGAGATGTTTCAACTAGAAACAAGATGGACAAGTCAATGTGTCTTAAATTTTGTATAGATTGCAAAATTCTATATCTGACATTTTAATACAATTTCTGTGTGTCAATATGTCGCAGTCACCATAAGCTATAAGCCCTGTTGTGCATTCTTTCTTGCAAATTATGAAGTGAAGACATGGTTCAATACCCCAGTAGTAATAAAACGTAGTGTTGTGTACTCCTGTCTCTGGCGATTGTATATTTTAAATATGTTGTTCGTATTTGTTTACTCTATATCCAGTAGTAAGTGTACATGTACAGAGGATGTTACTGGGTTACTAAGTTATTCAATCAAATATATGTTTAAGGAATCTGATGTTCAGTAGTTGTCGTTTGTTGATGTGGTTCATTAGTGTTTCTCGTTTTTTTATATAGATTAGACCGTTGGTTTTCCCGTTTGAATGGTTTTACACTGGTGAAAGGATATTGTTGACTTCATACTGAAGGTGTGCCTATATTGGCAGAAAATATAAAGATACAGATACAGATACAGATACAGATACTAGTAATTTTTGGGGCCTTTTATAGCTTGCTGTTCGGTGTGAGCCAAGGCTCCATGTTGAATACCGTACTTTGACCTATAACGGTTTACTTTTATAAATTTTGACTTGGATGGAGGGTTGTCTCATTGGCACTCATACCACATCTTCTTATATCTATTAACCCTTCAATAGTAGATATAGGAAGATGTGGTATGAGTGTCAATGAGACAACTCTCCATTCAAGTTACAATTTATAAAAGTAAACCATAATAGGTCAAGGTACGGCCTTCAACACGGAGCATTGGCTCACACCGAACAGCAAGCTACAAAGGGCCCCAAAAAATTACTAGTGTAAAACCATTCAAACGGAAAAACCAACGGTCTAATCTATATAAAAACGAGAAACGAGAAACACGTATGAACTACATAAACAGACGACAACTATTGTAATCAGATTCCTGACTAAGAACAGGTGCAAACATTTGCAGCGGGATTAAACGTTTTAATGGTACCAAACCTTCTCCCTTTTCTGAAACAATAGTATAACATCACAACATAGAAAAACACACTATAAAATATTAATTGGAAGGCTTAACTCAATCAAAAAACGTAAATTAACACACAATGAACGAATAAATTTGACCTGTGATACCTGAATGCAAATACACAGTTAATAAAAAATTACAAGGGATAAAAGAGTAAAGTCAAGAGTAAATAACAGGTATATAGCTGTTATTGTACACGCAGTCCTGGTGTGTTAGTTGGTATTCAGACCAATGAACCATGAACATGAGGTCAATGCCAGATGAAACCTCTTTTGGGTAAGTATTATATAATGTTTCTCTTGTCCAACATATCAAGTTTAAACATAAAGAAAGTATACTAGTAATAGAAAAAAGTAAAGTAACAAAAATACTCCAAGGAAAATTCTAAACGGAAAGTCCTTTATCAAATGGCAAAATCAAAAGCTCAAACACACCAGACTTTGTATTCTATTTGAAACCGCTCCTGTCATCTACGACTGAAAAAGTCATAGGTTTGGGTGTAGTGTATTTGCTTTGATCCTGTGCAACGATCAATAGTAAAAAGATAAAATCATCTAGAATTTAACTACTGGTCGATCTTGTCGTTGTTTATTGGTACCTGTGTTTTCGTGTTTGATGATGGTTAGGATAGTCATGTTAAATTTGTGAGAAGTCAGTTTCGTGGCCTATGTGGAAGCATTCGATGTCTAGTTTATTATTGGCGATGTTTAGGCTTAATATGAGTTTTGGATGCACACCATCATTGCTGTTAATGTACATGTTATAAAACGTAAAACTGAAAAGTTGTAAAGAAGCAACTGAGTATATTATATATTACAGTTGTCTATCTTTTAACACGAGAGTTATTCAGTGGTAAATTCAGACTTGCATATATATTCTATTTAGAAGGTACTAATGACACTGCGTACATGAGAATATATATCTTTATGTTCAAAATTTTACAAAGAGTTACAAGCATTTTTCGAACATTTTCAATATGGCGGCGTAAACTAGCTTTATATTTCAGGAGTATGAAGACCTTGATGCTTCAAATCTTGATTGCAGATACCTTATGTTACGAAGTTTGCGTCTGTCATGTGTCCATTGCCCTTGACCTAATATCATGGTTCAGTGACTGCTTGAAAAAAAAAAGTTATTTGAATTTCTCACTTATTATGAGTAATAGGATAACTATACTTGGTTAATGAGTTCAATGCAACGTTCACATATCCGTCAGAAAGGGTTCACCTGACCTACACCTCTTTTCATGGATCAGTGATCAAGGTTAAAGTTAGGTGATAAGGTCCATTTCTCAGATACTATAAGCAGTAGGTCAACTATATGTGGTGTATGGAATGATTGTGAGGGATCAGTCTGGCAGGTTTCATCTGACCTTGACCTCATATCTATTGTTCATTGGTCAATGTTAAGTTTTTGTGATTTGGTACGTTTTTTTTCAAGTACTATAAGAAATAGGTCAACTATAGTTGTTGTATGGAATGATTGTAAGGTGCACATGTCGGTCTAGCGGTAGTACCTGACCTTGACCTCATTTTCATGGGTAATTGGTCAATGTTAAGTTTTTATGTTTTGTTCTGTTTTTGTCCCCCCACGTAACGTGTTGCGGGGGACATGGAAATACTGGGCGTCCGTCCGTCAGTGTGTATGTGTGTCCGTCCATGTGTCTGTCCGTCCATCCGGTCTTGTTATCGCTCTCA